GCAGTGACACATCAGCAGAGTGCCACCTCAGCAGTGACACGTCAGCAGAGTGCCACCTCAGCAGTGACACGTCAGCAGAGTGCCACCTCAGCAGTAACACATCTGGATGCGCCGCAGCCAACGACTGGCCGAGCGCGGATCCGCAGGAGTCGAGCCACAACAGGAAACTAAGACCCCTCGGATTCCGCGCAGGCCACACACGACCATGGCTGCTACCGCTGACGACAATGCACACGCCAACCCCTCGAGGCCGGTTACCCCTCCTATCCCAGTTCAGCAGGCCGATGAAGCACTTCTAGTGTTCCTCGAACGCCTCCAGCAGTATTCGGAGACGACGGCAGCTGAACTGCGCAAGTGGGAAGAGGAGGAAGCCGCCCGCCAGCATGAAATTCAACACCAGCTGGCAGAGGCAGAGGCAGCACGTCTGCAGGCCGCAGCAGAAGCTGCAACAGCCGCACGGTTGCAACAGCAGCAGGTCGAGGCAAGTCAAAACCAAGCTCGTTACCAAGCCACCATGGATCTTGATCGCGACGAAGCCACGTACGCTATGCTACTTCGACGACAACATTTCCAAGAGACCGAAGAACAAGAAGAGCCAACCGAGGAAGAAAGGGACAAGGAAGGGACAACAGTTCTAATGGAGACTCTACTGTACACATGCAATTGGCAGCAACGTGAACTGCTCGCCATGCGGCAGGTCCTCATCCGCCATGAAACAACACTCAAGGCAATGGACAAGAGGATCGCGACCCTGCAGACCGAGAACAGCACACTACACGCCGCCAACAGCCAGCAGCAGACACTCAACCACCAGTTGCAGGCAGACGTCAGCATGGGGTTGGCACAACTGTCAGCAGCTGCGTCAACGGTCAGTGCAGCGGTAGACTGCAGCCCAACTTTGGTCGTGCAGGCCAAGCAACTCGAGGAACGGATCAACCACTTGCTCGCATCCCTCGGCAACATCAGCAAGTTTGCTGGAGCATCGACAGTCAGCAGCTGCAGACGCTCAGCGACCACGTTGACCAACGACCGGCCGCTGCCGCCAAGGAATGGAAGATGTCGAACTTCAAGTTCGACGACTATCACAAGACTGATCCGCTGCAATGGTGGATGACTTTCAACGCAGAGGCGGATGTACATCACACACCCGCCCATCGGCGGCTTGACGCACTCTACCTCCAACTCATTGGAAGCGCGCAGGCTTTCATGACACACATGGCTGTCACAAAGGGATGCACCATCGCTAACCTCCACACGAAGATCACATGGGAGGAATTCGAGAAGAAATGGAAGACTCATTTCATTGTCAACAACGACTAACGGCACGCCATGAACAAGATCTTCTGCATCTACCAAGGCCAGCAGACGTCACGGGAGTGGCTGACGGAGTGGCAAAGACTCGTCGCCATCCTGGAGTTGAACCTACCCTTCGACGCAATCCGGGCCGAATTCTTTGACCGGTCATGCGACGCCTTGACTGCTGCCTTGGGCATTGAGTTTCAATATGAGACCTTTGATGACCTGATCTCAAAGGCAAGAGAGCTTATTCAAGGTAACCGGCGTGCGGCCAATGAGACCCGCCAACAGCCCGGTTACGTGGAAAAAGGAAAAGGTCAACGGACGCCACAAGTAGCAGCAGTCCAGCACGGACCAAGTGAGGACCCCGCAGCCGCGTCTACATCAAGTGACGGAGATGTGGCGGCAGCGATACCACCGCAACGCTCAAGACCCCGAGGGGGAAAACAAAAGGCGAAACCAGCGTCGGCGGATGGAGCACGACAGGCACCATGGACGAAATTCGGCATTACCGAAGAAATGTTCAAGTTGCGACATAAATGGTCATGTTGTTTGTGGTGCAACAGCACCAAACACATCACCAGCGCATGCCTCGACAAGGACAAGGAGAATGTCAAACGTTCAAGCTCGGGAAACTGAGCACCGCGGGAAGTGCAGCGACATCACTTCCCAATCCGCCGGAGTCGGTTGCCTTGCTAGCAGCCTCTCTCACATCCGGGGATGATGCGGTAGTCGCAAGTTCTCGCATTGAGTATGAGAACTATGCTGTCGAGCTGGTCCCACCGTTGAACCAGCCTCTCCACATGCAAGATTCAAGCGCATGCGCGGTAGTTCCGTCGTCGGACAACGAACCGGTTGCTTCGCCAGCACTTCTATCGGAGGATCCGTCAACTTGGGCGAGTCTTGAGGAACTCGATCCGTTGACGGTTGAGGACTTCCAATGGTTGCCTCTTCCCTCCACCGGTTCTTTGCCAACTCCGCATTGCAATGCCTTAATGGCACATCTGCGCGAATACTCGCACGCTGCAGTACCACCTCCGTCGACGGACGATGGAGTAGCTGTTGTTGACCTTCGTAACTATCTTGCGAAGATCGACCGCGAGTACGCAACGCAACGGTACGTCGACAACGACGCGCTGCTCCTCTACATTCGCATTCAGATCGGAAAGGCGACCTGCAGTGCCTTGATCGATTGTGGAGTGACTCGCAACTACATCAGCCAAGACTTCATGGCACGCGCCGGGCTTGGCACGCGTGTTCGAAGGAAAAGTCAGCCTACGCACGTCACGTTGGCCGATGGTCACACGCAAAAGTCAATCGATCGATGCGTTAACTCGGTGCCCGTGTACTTTGCCCCGCTAGCATGCGAGGCCGTGTCTTTCGACATATTGGACACCAAGTTCGATATGATCCTAGGCATGTCGTGGCTGCAAAGCGAAGACCATCCGGTGAACTTCCATCGACGCACCGTTCACGTTCGTGATCGGCGTGGCGAACTAGTCCCGTGTACAGTGCCGGTTCCTCATCCTTCAATTGGTTGTCACGTGGTATCCGCGGCAAGCATTCGCCAATCCGTCCGGCGGAACGAAATCAAGGAGATGGGCATATGTTTTCTTCACGCCCTCCCACCCGGTGATCAGCCCAAGACGGATACGTCGGACCCACGCATCATTGAGCTATTGGACAACTATGAGGATGTCTTCCAGGCTCCCGCCGGAGTCATACCGGATCGGCCCATACGCCACGGGATCACTCTCGAGGACGGCGCCGTACCTCCGCGCGGATGTATCTACCGCATGAGTGAAGAGGAACTTCAAGTGCTTCGGGCACCAACTAGACAACCTCTTGGCCAAGAGCTGGATTCGCCCTAGCTGTTCGCCATACGGTGCTCCCGTTCTCTTCGTCCGGAAGAAGAACAAGGACCTTCGTTTGTGCATCGACTATCGGAAACTTAACGCGCAAACGATCAAGAGCGTCGACCCTCTCCCTCGGATCGATGATCTTCTCGAGCGACTAGGCGGCGCCAAGTACTTCTCGAAGCTTGACCTCAAGTCCGTATACCACCAGATCGAGATCCAGCCAAGAGATCGGTACGAAACCGCGTTCAAGACGCGATATGGGCACTTTGAGTGGATCGTCATGCCTTTCGTTCTCACCAATGCCCCGGCTACTTTCCAAGCGGCCATGACGACGGAATTCCGCGACTTGCTCGATCGCACCGTACTCGTTTACCTCGATGATATCTTGGTTTATAGCCGGACGCTGGACGAGCACCTCGAGCACCTTCGCGCCGTATTGAAGCGGCTACATATCGGCAAGTACAAGGCGAACCGCGACAAGTGCGAGTTTTCCCAACAAGAGCTGGAGTACTTAGGCCATTACGTTACGCCGCAAGGCATTCGTCCGCTTGCGGACAAAGTACAAGCTATTCAATATTGGCGGGACCTCAAGTGTACTACCGACGTCCGCTCCTTTCTCGGCTTGGCATTATACTATATGCGCTTCGTCAAAGGATTCCAAAGTATCGCTGCACCATTGTCGCGACTTCAGTCCCCCTTGGTGCCCTTCGAGTTCAGCAACGAGGCCCGACATGTGTTTCACACGCTGAAGACGGCTCTGCTTCAAGCTCCCGTGTTAAGCATCTATGACCCGACATTGCCCACCAAAGTGACTACGGACGCTTCCGGTTATGGCATTGGCGCGGTTTTGGAACAGCATGACGGCACAGACTGGCATCCGGTTGAGTACTTCAGCCAAAAGGTGCCGCCCATCAACACTCTTGATGATGCGAGGAAGAAGGAACTCCTAGCTTTTGTCACCATACTTAAGCGTTGGCGTCACTTTCTCCTCGGGCGTCGGCGATTCACGTGGGCAACAGACAACAATCCGTTGACATATTACAAGACGCAAGACATAGTGAGCAGCACGATCGGTCGATGGATGTACTTCATTGACCAGTTCGACTTCACCTCCAAGCACATTCCGGGTTCCTCGAACAAGGCAGCGGATGCTCTCTCGCGAAGACCTGATCTTTGCGCCTTGGTGCACTCCACAGTCGGCCTCGACGAGAACCTGCAACAACATTTCGTAAACAGCTACAAGTCGGATCCGGGATTCTCCACACTCTATGCGGACTTATCATCGGATCAACCGGATCAACCGCCGGCAAGAAACTATCACATTGTCGACGGCTCCTTGCTTCTCCACACACGAGGCAAGGACTTGTTGTGTGTTCCCCAAGACCGCATCTTGCGCACTCGCCTCCTTGGCGAATACCACGATTCGCGGCTGGCGGGACACCTTGGCGTCGCACGCACACTAGCACGACTCCGCCAGCGATTTCATTGGCCGGACATCATCAGCGACGTCAACCGGTACATTCAATCATGTGCAGTTTGCCACCGGAACAAAGGGCGCCATCAACTTCCGTACGGCGAACTGAAACCATTGCCATTTCCTCGGGCACCGGGTCTGTCTATTGCGATGGAAGTGACCGGTCCGTTTCCTCGCGATCGCCTTGGTCATGATGGTATTCTCACGGTCGTTGACCGTTTGAGCAAGTACGCTCGATTTCTTCCATGCAAGTATCATGTGACGGCTCCAAAGCTCGCACGACTTTTGCATACCGGCTGGTTTTGCATCCACAGCGTTCCGAAAGACATCGTCAGCAACCGCGACACCCGTTTCATGTCAGCCTTTTGGGCGACACTCGTGGTGGAATCCGGCACCAGCATGAAACCGAGTTCCGCACGGCATCCTCAAATGGATGGGCAAACGGAACGTGCACACCAGACTGCGCAGATGATGCTCCGCACACTCATCCGCCCGGATCAGAAAGACTGGGTTGATCGCCTTCCCGACATCGAGTTCGCCTATAACACTTCGGTGCACTTGGTGATTGGCGTGACTCCATTCGAGTTGCACCATGGTGGACGAAAAGGATGTATCTTCGCAGACATTTTGCTTCCACGGGCTGCCGATATAGACGCCGCTTGCTCCCCCGCTTCTACACGGAAGTACAGGGAACTGCTGGCCAAAGCCCGCGCAAACATGCAAAAGGCTCAGGTCCGTATGCAGCAGCAAGCGAACCGGCGTCACATCCCATGTCCAATTCGCGCTGGCGACCTAGTTTGGGTCACCTCCGAGGAATTCGCGCTCGAGCACGATGTCTCGCGCAAGCTCCTCCCTAAGTGGTTTGGACCATGGATGGTCACTTCAGCAGCTGGCGACGACCCCGCGGGTCCATCTTTCATCATTGAGATTCCCCCGCATTTGACGGTCCACCCGATATTTCACGCTTCAAAGCTGGCAGTCTACACTCCAGCCTCCGCAGCGAAATTCCCGGGCAGACGGTCACAGGACCCTCCTTTAATGGACGGCCATCAGGAGGTCGACCGCGTTTTCACGCATCGCAAGCATGGCAACAAGCCTATGCAGTACAAAGTTACATTTAAGCAATGCGATCCGAACGACACACGCTGGATTTCAAGAGCTGACCTGAAGGCGACAGCACCCCTCATCTTCGCGCATTATGAAAAACAGCGACTTGCTAAGGAAGCTGCCCAACCTGCCCGCCCTATCGAACAGACAGCTTTGCCCTCGCAGTTAGCTCGGTCTTCAAAGGAGGGAGTGTGTGGCATTCTGAGCCACACGGGCCCCAATTAGGGCCCAGTTCCAGACAGGCAGGGTAAGCCTAAGGGACGATGGTTCAGATGAGGCCCAGATGGGTCTGGACCATGACGGTTCAGGCAGGCCCAGGCCAAACGGCCACAAGGCCGGTACCGGTCCGGCCTAGGACCTACCGGCGGCGCTGCAGAGGCTGCCACAGTTTTGGGCGCCAACCAGTTTTGAAACTGGACCGTTGATCTAGATCAACGGTCCAGGCCGGTAGGTACCAGCGGGTAGGAGGCCGGCCCAGCACGACAAAAGGCTGGGTACCAGCCTCAATAGGGAGGTTAGTAAGGCTAGAGGTTAGTCTTCAGGATTAGCGCATCAGCTTCAGCGTTAGCTCATTTAGCGCAGCGCTGCAGCGCAGCACGGAGCAGGAGAACGAAGAGTCCAGCGGCGAGCGGTTTAGCGCAGCACTTGGGCGCAACGCCAGTTACCGGCCCAGCCCCTTGCAGCGCCTCAGCGACGGTACCAGGTATCAGGGAAGAAGGCTTCGCCTTCTCTCCCTCTTCTCCTCCATCGCTCCTCTCTCCTCTCCCTCTCCCTCTCTCTCTCCTCCTACCTTCTCAGTCTCAGTCTAATTCTGGGTTCTCCTACGGGACTACTGCAGTATGAAGGATGGTTACAAACTCCGATAACATTTGGAACAGCGACTTTGGGACTACGAGTTGAGGACTATTTCGGGATCTGATTTCATCTTCCTTCTGGAGATGTACTTGACATTGTGAGATCCATATCTGGGATATTGTGAGACTTGGCATTTGCGACATTTCGGATTTCGTCACTTCTGACAATTCAAGATACTATCTTTGGAAACATTGAGTTGACGTCATCTTCCCTCTCCTGCTCCTTTGTCTCTCTCCTCTCTCCCGTCGTCCGTGGATGATCTCAGTCCCTGGCCCTTCGTCCGTGGATGATCTCAGTCCCTGGCCCTTCGTCGATGTCTGAGGCCAGGGCATTCACACCCCTGATGAATGCTTGAGAATGTTTGATTGCAGTCGGAGTCGGGTCCGAGTCAGTCCAAGGTATCTCAAGTCTTCCGCTTGCATTTGTATTAACTCTGTATTATCTGGTCGTTTCTGGGAATCTGCGCCATACTTATGACTGTGTTTCACGAGTATGCACCATTCAGGCACAACTTGGTGGGCACAGAAATGCCCCAGCGAATGCCCGTGGTACCTCAGGCGTCCGTACAACCGGGCCACCTGCATGGGTGCCCAGCCGGGCGCACCCAAGCCGTGGTAACCTAGGTTCTCGGCTACAGGGCCACCCAGCAAGTAAGTACAGCTCCGATACCAATTTTTATGATCCTGGGCCTCCTGGCTATCTTGAAGGGCAACAACTCAAAGAAAGACAATGTTGTTCAATTGCAACTGAAATGAAAGAACCTGAAAGAGAAATAGACAAAAGAAGAAGAAGAAGTAGGAATGGAGGAAGAAGAAAAAGATGAACACCAGCAAAGACCAATGTCAATTCCCCTTCATCTCGCCACGATCTTCAACCTCCAATCACTCCCCCAGCTCATCATTAACAATAATCATAACAATAACAATGAAAGAATGAACCCCTTACTGCCAGCCACTCAAAAGGTTCACCACAGCCATCCCACACGCCTTCGTCCTACTTGGTCGAGCAGGTGGCTATGGCGGACTCCAATGTTCAAAGGACAACGCAAAGCTAATGCGTCCCTTCTACTATGAATGCCAAGCTCAGCACTACTACCGGAGTCATCCTTGTAGGTACCAACCCCAACTGGGCCCTTGCAGATGCAGCGCCAACCACGAAGATGAAGATGCACACCACCATCGTCAGATAAGCTCCACCGTAACTCTCCTCCTTGCTCACCGTCTTCTTCCTCCTCCTTGTACTCTTCCCCCTTGGCTTCTTCCACCATCGCTAAGGTGGAAGGCCAAGCTGCCTTCTTCCTTCACCCAGCGCTCTTCCGCTTGGGCGCTTGCTCCAGCAGGCTGCCACCAAAGTGCATGCAGGCAAAATGAGCCTCTTGCCTCTACCTAAGGTATACTGGAGTATTGCCTCTTCGCGCGTTGGCTTCCAGACCGCACGGCCTCCCAAGCGTACCAGTACCTCCGTGATTGGAGGGAACATCATTGCAGATTGAAATTCCCCTCCACAGGCCCCAGACTGAAATTACTGGACCAGTACCCCTAGACTCTTTTTTTTTTTTTTTTTTTTTTTTTCCGAAAGACAGGGCCTTATGGTCCTAGCTCCTTCTATTCTGGGGAGCGACAGTCCGGTTCCTATTCCACCGGCAAGTCAAAATAAACATTACATCGATGGAAAACTCACGCACGCTTCCTTCCGTCCGGCCGAAGGACCCCTGAACAGCATTGATTACTCCACCGCAGTGGAGGATTGACTGTCATCTTGCCCTGACCCTCTCTTCCCTCTCAGACCTGGACTCCAGATCTGTCGGATAACGCCTTTGACCCTAGGAAGAGTTCATCCGTTGTCCATGCCGACCTGTTCCTTCCTCACACTCCTCCCTACCCCCTGGGATGAGCGACCAAAAGGCCTTGAACCCTAAACCCTCGACCTGTGCTCCTCTCCTCTGAAAAGTCAACCTTGGGAGCTGGCTAGGCTTCGTTTACTTCCGGACCACTGTGACCAAACCTACTCAGCAACCCCCGTTCATATTCCTTTTGTTGCTTCTGTCTACACCCTAACCCCTAAACCCTCAGCTGCAATACTGTGGAGATTGTAATCTGTTTCCTTGTCTTTTCCTATGATGCCTCTCCGTGTCTCCATCAGAGACCCTGTCAGATGCAGTTGAACGCGGGAGACAGAGAGAAGTTTACTGTATATCTTGATCGTTGTAACCCTGGTTTCATAAGTGTGCTTCCTGGTCGTCTGTCAGGACTATGCTCTAAGCCGATCAACGTGTAGYCCTCTCTTGCCTTCTTGTCCAGATAAWTATWCAGAGAGKACTCAGGGACCTCCACAATTGGTATCCACCTCTCTGCGGTCACATCTTTCTTCTCAGCTCTGTTCCCTGGATCTGCCAGTCTTCTGGAGGCGTAGCTGTCAGCTTGCACTGCTTATACCCTTTCCTCTCGGCTTGTGTTGCCGGTGTCCCTTTTATTTTTTCCTCTTCCACTCGCCTCGCTCTGATGGGGCTCCTTCTGACTTTGTCCTGCTGAACCTCACCTTCTTCTGGCCGAGTACTTCTGTATCTGCCATCTGTCAGGGGTTTCGGCTTGCAACGAAGACTTCAGTTGTGTCTGCTTCTTCTCTCGGCGTTTAGTCTGGCCTTCCGTGATTCCACCGCTTCTTCCTTTACAGATGACTCGTAGTGACTCCCTCCTTATCGGTCCCTCGCYGCAGATTAGTGGTGTTAGTCAGGGGAGGAGGTGGTAAGAGGTTATCTGGGGAGGGGATGTGGAGGACGGGGGCGCACGGCTTGGTGGTCTCTGTCCGTTTCTCGTCTGTATAAACCCGCTTTTTAATCTGAATGGTACCTTTTCGCTTCGTCCCTTCCCTGTGTTCTTTCTCTTGTTAATCCCAATTTTTGAATTGTAACCAGCCCTTCTCTATTTTTGCCATACCATTCCCGTTAAGCCAGATTTTCTCAATTTTTTTCTGACTCAGATCTCGCTTCTCTGGTTGGATTATTTTCTGTTGTTCTTTTTGTTCTCTACTCCACCGAGCTCTTTTCTCTGTTTGTGTTATGGACTTGACTTCTGTCCACCTCTCCTCCAAGCTGGGAAATTGATTATCTAACGTGCCCTTGCATCTCGCTTTCCATATTACCCAGAGAGTCGCTCTCCTCCACAGGTCCACTAAGGGTATTACCTCTTCTTCCAAATCGTTGTCTACGATCCTCCCCGCCAATAGGTAAACCTTGTTGGAAGGAAAGGTATGTCCTGTTAATTTGACCCAGAGCGCGCTTGTTCTATCCCACAGTTCTAGGGCTCGCCGATAGAGAATGAGGCAGTGCGTCAATGACTCTTCCACGCCTTCATTGCACACTTTGCACCACGCCGATTGCTGCTGGGGATCCTCTTGCTTTCTTCTTTTACTCAACCATTGATTGACGGGTACTGCCCAGTAAAGTATTAGCCATTGTAGGCTACTGATCCTTGCTGGCCTTATGGTAGTATACTTGCTCCATGTGATTCTGCTTGTCCATCCTGCATTTTCTCTCAAATTTTTCTTCCATCTATCTGTTATTATCGGTTGAGGATCCTTTGTGATGTTTCTTAGTTTATAACCCACTTTGGTTTCGTAGTCGTAAAGTGGTGTGAGCTTTTTAGCTCTTCCTGCGCTGCCTGGGGTGTACCAACCCCATTCTGCAGGGTCCATTTTTAGGTCTTTAATGTCTTGGTCTGGCCTGAAGATCCAGATTTCCTTTTGCTCCTGTTCATAGTTCAGGGTCTTTTTACGGTTGATTTTGGGTGAGAAGATTCTGACTTTTCTTAGATCTTTAAGTTCGATTGTTGTCCTTTGTTCTATTGCTTTTCCGGGTTTTACCCATGTTTTGTGCGTATGTATTAGTTCAAAGGATTCAAACTCTGCCTTCTCTTCTTCTGTGTCCAGTACCTTAATCAACTTGTATCCTTCTAGTGGTGGGTTTGGTCCCTTTTTTGTAGCCCAATCGCCTACGCTCCACTTGGACTTGGATTTTAAGAGCAGTTCCCATCTCAAGGGGACGCTTTCTAACAACCTTTCTAAATGGTCTTTTAAGTTGTGGACTCCTTTGAGTTTGGTTCTTAGTTCTTGAGCAGTGATCCATCTGTTCTTTTCTCTGCTCCATAAGTGTTCCACCCTCCAGACTCCATTGCCCATCCACTTTCTCCAATGTTTGCCTTTAGAATTCAGGGTCCAGGGTTTGTCATTTTGGTCTTTTAAGAGGGGGTTTCCGAAAAGGGGTTGTCTCACGACTTCCTCTCTAATTTGTGGGGTTCTTATTTTCTGTGGGAAACAGTCCCTCCAGTGTTTTATCAAGGAGGCCCAGCGATTGCTGGGTGGATCTTTCCCTTCCATCTGTCTCCTTCTATCCTTTCGTGCCGAGGACCAAGTGGGGTTGAGTATCCAGTGGTAGCCTTCTATGTTCGGGTCAACTTTGAAGGGGACTAGATTGCGGGTCTGGTGTAGGGCCATGTTGTGCCATGGGAGTTCTCTGTTAAAGAGGAGCTTGATTATCCATTTCAGTTGCAGCGCCTGGAATTGTGAGACTGGATTCAATAAACCCAAACCTCCTTGAGATTTGGGTCTGGTGACATATTTCCAAGCCACTTTGGAGATGTACCTATCTTTGTCCGCGTTACCCGTCCAGAGGTAAGCTCCAAGTTTCTTTTTGAGGT